TTATCAGAAACTGGAATTTGACATATACCAAGATATATGTTTTATTATGTTTTTATTATTTGTAGCTTTTGTTTATTGACTTATGCCTGTTAGTTTCCTGGCATTGAGCAAAGTTCAGTATAATAATTAGTTGGCTGAGCTGAGTTAAGCTTAAAAGCCAGCCTACAAGTTATGAAAGTAAATAAGCCAGATCGTCAAACTGACTGATAGAAAATATCACAGTTCTTGAAACCATCAGTGAGTGATCCCCATTAAGTGAATGTGTCCCCCACCTTTATAGACATTTTGAGGCAAAAAAAAAACGCTAACAGAAAAATAATTATTTGATTCTCGAAAAATACATTTATTGTCTATTCATGTCTCATATTACTTTTATTACTATATTTAGTAGTTCAACAAAAAATAGTTGTTGTAGAAGATATGTAAACGTGTACATTTTCAGAAAAATAAATCTAAAATAATAGAAATTAAGATATAAATAGTTCCTGTACTTTCCAGTTTAAAAAAATATATCAGGATTCACATTTACACTGTTTTTCTCAGTTTGTTCTCTTTCTATCTGTACTTTCCCCATTACTAAAGGGGAATAATTATGGGCTGTCATTTTGTATGCATTGATATCAAAATGTTCAGCTACTTCTTTCACACTACATGTTCATTGTAATTATATAGAAGGTTGGCTTTGTGTGTCTGCTCTGTAATCACAAAGAGAGAATGTTCTATGGGTTATGCAACTTGCCAGAAATGGTTATTTACTATCCTGCTACTAGCCAGGCTGATGAATCCAAAATATAACTCAAATTAGGTATATCTGTCATGCGTTTGTCTTTCACACGCGTTAAATTGCCTGGATAGTGATGCATTGCTCTATACCACAATGTGTGTTGTTGTTTTTGTTAACATGAAAAATTTTGGAAAAAAAACAATTTCTTGGATTATTCATTTTTATTTAAAGCTAAAAATATACACTGATCAGCCACAACATTAAAAACACTGATATTCATTATATTGTTGGCACCTGTGAAGGGGTGGGATGTATTAGGCAGAAAGTGAACAGTCAGTTCTTTAATTTCATATGTTGGAAGCAAGAGACAAGATCTGAGTGACTTTGACAAGGGCCAAGTAGAAATTACATATTGCTATCAGAGCATCTCCAAAACGGAAAGTCTTGTGGGGTGTTCCCGGTATACAGCAATTAGTAGCTACTATAACTAATGCAAGGAATGATAACGAATGAGCCGATATCAGGGTCATGGGTGCCCAAGACTCACTGATGCATGTGGGGCGCAAAGAATAGCCCATCTGGTTCAATCACACAGAAGAGCTATTGTAGCTCAAGTTGCTGAAAAGCTTAATGCTGGCCATAATATAAAGGTGCCAGAACTCACATTGCTTTGCAGTTGGTTGCATATTGGGCTGTGTAGCTGCAGACCAGCCAGAGGGTTACCCCTGTCCACAGCTGAAAGTGCCTTCAACAGGGACGTGAGCATCAGAAGTGGACCATGGAACAATGGACGCAGGTTGTCTGGTCTTATGATCTTTTAGATCAGCAGGATGACAGGGTGGAAGTGCTTCATTATCTGGGGAAGACATGGCAGCAAGATTCACTATATGAAGAAGGTAGGGTGGTGTAGGTAGGATTTTGCTCTGGGCAATGTCCTGAGGCACCCACGATGCTCTGAAAGTCAGTCTGTGGTGTTTATGGTGCCTTTGTCTCCTGTGTTTTCCCTCTCGGGATCTCAGTGAATTATGCTTGTAAGGGAGAGCTGTTACTGTATCTGAGTTCCAGAACATCTCTTGTGGGTTGCTACAGCACCCTGCCACACTGCAAAAATTCTGAAATGGATTGAAGGACATGACAAAGAGTTCAAGGTGTTGCCTTATTCTCTAAATCCCCCAGATCTCAATCCGTTCGAGCATCTGTAGGATGTACTGGAACCACAAATCTCACAAATGGAGGCCCCACCACGCAATTTGTAGGATTTAAAGGATTTGCGGCTAATGTCTTGGTGCCAGATACCACAGGACATGTTCAGAGGTTTTGTGGAGCCCATGCCTCAAAGCATCAGAGCTGTTTTGGCAGCACAAGGGGGATCTACATAATATTAGTCAGATGCTTTGAATGTTGAGGCTGATTGGATAAATATAAAGTTCCCTTTTAAGCCAACAACCCAAACACTAGACCTGAAGAGATGTAGATGTCTGCAGAACAAAAAATGCTGCAAAACGTTTATGTAGCTTTTCTCGCTGAACTTTGAAAAATAATTGAGAAGGACATTCAGGCAGCCATAACAGCAGGAACAATGGTGACTATGACTGTGCTGACCTGCAGTATTGCCTAATTGCATGATGGCTAAGCAATATCAGGCATTTTTGCAATGCCAGTTCTGAGTTGCCAACATTAGATAATTATATATCTAGATTAAACAAAATAGATAGTGTTAAAATGTTTTATAATGTTTAATTAATGAAAAATGAGGAACGGGAGCCATTTTAAGTTCAAAAGCAGAGATGTATCCAAAATCGAACGGAAAAGGTCAGTGGAAAATTAATTACTCACTTGACCCTCTTACCCTGACAAAAAAATGAAGCTTTCTCACATATCCAGTCTGTAGCATCAGTGTCCATCCTTCAGTGCTGGAAAAATTAGTTCTCTATCAACTTATACAACTGTGTCTGTCAATTCCTCCCAGCTTACTCTATGCATGAGGGAGGAGGCAGAGTGGAATCCGTGAGGAGGAGAGAGCCAGCTGCCAGAGCGACACCCAACAACCCTAGCCACCCTCCTGCATCCAAAAGGCAAGAGACAGGAGGGTGGCTAAAACAATGACCTGCATGTGTGCATCAGTATGTATGTCTGTGTGTCAGTTTGTGTGTGTCTGTGTGTGTATTTGTATGTCAGTGTGTGTATCTGTGTTTGTGTGTGTATTCTGTGTCAGTGTGTATCTAAGTCTCTGTGTACATGAGTGTCTGTGTATCTGTGTATATGTGTGGCAGTGTAGCTATATGTGTGTATATATATCACTGCAGATTTGGGATTTCTGTGGGAAAAACAAGTCTTATGGCTTGATTGGTGTGCAGATTTTTGTTTAACATTGCATTAACTATCCACAGACTTCAGGTGGAAGGGGTTTTCAATCACAATTTTTCCCCACCATAACCTATTTGGATTTTGCTGTATATATATATATATATATATATATATATATATATATACACATATATATATATATATATATATATATATATATATATATCAGGGGCGGACTGAGAGCCTTTGGGGCCCCCGGGCAAAATTAGATCCCAGGCCCTTTGAAGGCCAAATATACGTGCATTAAATAAATGTTAAATATAACTCATAATACGGCATTCCTTTGGATGTGTATATTGTGAAGACCTGTGTATCAATGCATGTTTGTATTTGAGTCTGTGTGAATGCACTTGTGCATGTCTGGATGACTACATGTGCTTTTTTGTATATAGTGTCTGTGTGAATGCATATGTGACAGGTGACAGAGTGTATGAGGGAGAAGGTGACAGGTGGAAGAGTGTGGGAGGTTGTGACAGGTGGCAGAGTGAGGGGGTACCTGGTGGCAGAGTGAGGGAAGGAGGGGTTGAGTGGTGGCAGAGTGAGGGGGAGACACAGTGAGTGGGGGTGACTGGTGACAGAGTGGGTGACTAGTGACAGAGGGAGGGAGAGGGGGTGACTAGTGACAGAGTTAGGGAATGGGTGACTAGTGGCAGAGTGGGGGAGGGAGGGAAGAGATGACTAGTGGCAAAGTGAGGGAGGGAAGAGGTGACTGGTGACAGAGTGAGGGGATGACTGGTGACAGAGGGAGGGAATGACTAGTGACAGAGGGAAGGAATGACTAGTGATAGAGGGAGGGAGTGACTAGTGACAGAGTGAGTGAGGGAGTGGGTGACTAGTGACAGAGTGAGGAAGGGGTGACACAATGACAGAGTGAGGGAGGGGGTGACTAGTGACAGAGTAAAGGAGGTGGTGACTGTCACTAGTCACACCGTCCCTCACTCTGTCACTAGAGTGAGAGGGTGACAGGTGACAGAGTGAGGGAAGGGGTGACTAGTGGCAGAGTGAGGGGATGACTGGTGACAGAGTGAGGGGATGACTGGTGGCAGAGTGAGGGAGGTGGTGACTAGTGGCAGAGTGAGGGAGGTGGTGACTGTCACTAGTCACCACCTCCCTCACTTTGTCCCTAGTCACTCGTCACACCCTCCCTCACTCTGTCACTAGAGTGAGGGGGTGACTAGTGACAGAGTGAGGGGGTAACAGGTGACAGAGTGAGGGAAGGGGTGACTAGTGACAGAGTGAGGAAGGGGGTGACACAGTGACACAGTGAGGGAGGGTGGGACTAGTGACAGTAAGGAAGAGGATGACTAGTGACAGAGTGAGAGAGGGGGTGACTAGTGACAGAGTGAGGGAGAGAGTGGGTGACTAGTGACAGAGTGAGGAAGGGGGTGACACAATGGCAGAGTGAGGGAGGGGGTGACTAGTGACAGAGTAAAGGAGGTGGTGACTGTCACTAGTCACACCGTCCCTCACTCTGTCACTAGAGTGAGGGGGTGACAGGTGACAGAGTGAGGGAAGGGGTGACTAGTGGCAGAGTGAGGGGATGACTGGTGACAGAGTGAGGGGATGACTGGTGACAGAGTGAGGGAGGTGGTGACTAGTGGCAGAGTGAGGGAGGTGGTGACTGTCACTAGTCACCACCTCCCTCACTTTGTCCCTAGTCACTCGTCACACCCTCCCTCACTCTGTCACTAGAGTGATGGGGTGACTAGTGACAGAGTGAGGGGGTGACTAGTGACAGTGAGGGGGTGACTAGTGACAGTGAGGGGGTAACAGGTGACAGAGTGAGGGAAGGGGTGACTAGTGACAGAGTGAGGAAGGGGGTGACACAGTGACACAGTGAGGGAGGGTGGGACTAGTGACAGTAAGGAAGAGGATGACTAGTGACAGAGTGAGAGAGGGGGTGACTAGTGACAGAGTGAGGGAGAGAGTGGGTGACTAGTGACAGAGTGAGGAAGGGGGTGACTAGTGACAGAGTGAAGGAGGTGGTGACTGTCACTAGTCACCTCATCCCTCCCTCTGTCACTAGTCACCCCCTCCTCTTTCTCTGTCACTAGTCACACCATCCCTCACTCTTTCACTAGAGTGAGGGGGTGACAGGTGACAGAGGGAGGGAAGGGGTGACTGGTGACAGAGTGAGGGGATGACTGGTGACAGAGTGAGGGAGGTGGTGACTGTCAATAGTCACCACTTCCCTCACTTTGTCCCTAGTCACTCCTCCCTCTGTCACTAGTCACACCCTCCCTCACTCTGTCACTAGAGTGAGGGGGTGACTAGTGACAGAGTGAGGGAAGGAAGGGGTGACTAGTGACAGAGTGAGGAAGGGGGTGACACAGTGAAAGAGTGAGGGAGGGGGTGACAGTGACAGAGTGAAGGAGGTGGTGACTGTCACTAGTCACCGCATCCCTCCCTCTGTCACTAATCACCACCTCCCTCACTCTGTCACTAGTCACCCCTTCCCTCCATCACTCTGTCACTAGTCACCCCCTCCCTCTCTCTGTCACTAGTCACACCCTCCCTCACTCTGTCACTAGAGTGAGGGGGTGACTAGTGACAGAGTGAGGGGGTGACTAGTGACAGAGTGAGGCGGTGACAGAGTGAGGGAAGGGGTAACTAGTGGCAGAGTGAGGGAAGGAAGGGGTGACTAGTGACAGAGTGAGGGGATGACTGGTGACAGAGAGGGAGGTGGTGACTGTCACTAGTCACCACCTCCCTCACTCTGTCCCTAGTCACCCCTCCCTCTGTCACTAGTCACCCCCTTCCTCACTCTGTCACTAGTCACCACTTCCCTCCCTTACTCTGTCAGTAGAGTGAGGGGGTGACTAGTGACAGAGTGAGGGAAGGGGTGACTAGTGGCAGAGTGAGGAAAGGAAGGGGTGACTAGTGACAGAGTGAGGGAGGTGGTGACTGTCACTAGTCACCACCTTCCTCACTCCGTCACTAGTCACCACCTCCCTCACTCTGTCACTACTCCCTCTCTCTTTCTGTCACTAGTCACCCCCTCCGTCCCTTACTCTGTCACTAGTCACCCCCTAACTCACTATGTCACCAGTCATCCGCTCACTCTGTCACCAGTCATCCCTTCCTTCCCTCACTCTGCCACTAGTCACCCCTTCCCTCACTCTGTCACTAGTCATTCCCTCACTCTAGTGACAGAGTGAGGGAGGGTGTGACTAGTGACAGAGTGAGGGAGAGGTGACTAGTGACAGAGTGAGGGAGGGGTGACTAGTGACGGGGGTGACTAGTGAGGGAGGGTGTGACTAGTGACAGAATGAGGGAGAGGGTGACTAGTGACAGAATGAGGGAGAGGGTGACTAGTGACAGAGGGAGGGAGATGGTGACTAGTGACAGAGTGAGGGAGGTGGTGACTGTCACATCACCCCATCCCTCCCTCTGTCACTAGTCACTCCCTCCCTAACTCTGTCACTAGTCATCCCTTCACTCTGTCACTAGTCACCTCCTCCCTCTGTCACTAGTCACCTCCTCCCTCTGTCACTGTGTCACCCCATTCCTCCCTCTGTCACTAGTCATCCCTCCCTTACTCTGTAACTAGTCACCCCGTCCCTCACTCTGTCACTAGTCACCCCCTCCCTCACTCTGTCACTGGTCATCCCCTCCCTCACTCTAGCAACAGAGTGAGGAGGGGTGACTAGTGACACGGGGGGGGTGACTAGTGACAGTGGGGGGAGGTGACTAGTGACAGTGGGGGGAGGTGACTAGTGACAGTGGGGGGGTGACTAGTGACAGTGGGGGGTGATTAGTGACAGTGGGGGGTGATTAGTGACAGTGGGGGGTGACTAGTGACAGTGGGGGGTGATTAGTGACAGTGGGGGGGTGACTAGTGACAGTGAGGGAGGTGGACTATGACAAAGTGGGGGGGTGATTACAGACAGGAAGTGGATGAGTGACAGTGGGGTGATCAGTGACAGGAGGGGAGGTGGACTAGTGACAGTGGGGGTGATTAGGTGACAAAGTGGGGGGTGACTAGTGACAGGAGGGGTGGACTAGGTGACAGTGGGGGTGACTAGTGACAGTGGGAGGTGATTACAGACAGTGGGGTGACTAGGACAGTGGGGTGACTATGACAGTGGGGTACTCAGCGGCTGAAAGTGGGGGGGGTGACTAGTGACAGCAGGGGGAGGTGATTAGTGACAGTGGGGTGACTAGTGACAGTAGCAACAGTGACAGTGGGGGGGTGGACTAGGTGACAGTGAGGGGAGGTGCAATAGTGACAGTGGGGAGGTGATTAGCATTATGGGGTGACTAGTGAGCAAAGTGGGAGGGAGGTGACTAGTGACAGTGGGGTGACCAGTGACAGTGGGGGTAATTAGTGACAGGGGGGGCACTAGTGACAGTGGGGAGGTGATTAGTGACAGTGGGGTGACTAGTGACAGTGAGGGGGGTGGGACTAGTGACAGTGGGGGGTGGACTAGTGACAGCGGGAAGGACTAGTGACAGGAGGGGAGGTGACTAGTGACAGTGGGGGTGACTAGTGACAGTGGGGGGGTAATTAGTGACAGTGAGGGGAGGTGATTAGTGACAGTGGGGGGGTGACTAGTGACAGTGAGGGGAGGTGATTAGTGACAGTGGGGGGGTAATTAGTGACAGTGAGGGGAGGTGATTAGTGACAGTGGGGGGGTAATTAGTGACAGTGGGGGGGGGAGAGGGGTACCTAGTGCCTACCTGTCTCTCTGCTCCTTGTGGTCTCCCCGGCTGCTGCTCCTTCCCCTCACTGGGCTCTGTGTGTGAGAGGAGTAAACAGGAAGTGAGGTCACTTCCTGTCCCGCCTCTCCCATCACACGAGCACCGCGGGACTGGAAGCAGGAGACCTGGCAGAGAGGGAGAGGAGGTGAAGCTGCCAGGTCTCATGGGAAGAGGGGGGGGGTGAATTTAGAGAGCGGTAGGTTGTGGGGCCCCGTGCTGCATCAGGGGCCCCACAACCTATCATTTAAATAGTTTTATTTATTTTTTCGTTCCAGCTGGAGAGATCTCTGATCTGATCTCTCCAGCTGGAGCATGGCTGTGCGGCCGGGCCCCTGACTGTCTCGGGCCCTCGGTCCGTGACCGATATGCCCGAGTGGTCAGTCCGCCCCTGATATATATATATATATGTGGAAGGCATATGCCTGTAATTATGGGAGGGATTATTAGTCCTATACAAGCTTACTTGTCATCGCCGATTTCGGAAGTTCCCCTCCCTCCGCACCCTTTATTACTCAAATTAAATTTCATCAAGGTGGGCCCTCTTTATTGCAGGTCTAACCTCTCGTCGGTTTCAACACACCTCAACCGACTTTTGTTATTATCTAAATCATATTAATTTAATCATACGTCTACTATTATCCCGTACACAAATAAATATATATATATATATATATATATATATACAGAAAGCTCGGCACTCACCTCATAGATAAAAAATTAGTTGATACCCTGGTGCAAACCCACATTGTATAAATAGTTCAAAGATTTGGGTACACTCCACAGGGTTTGTTCAATCACTGTGTTATTTTAATACATTTAAAAAAACATACATAAAGACCTGATCAACATTTTGACCCCGATAGGGTCTTTCTCAAGATCCAAAATCTTGAGAAAGACCCTATTGGGGTTGAAACTTTGATCAGGATTTTGTGTATGTTTTTTTTTAAATTTATTAAAATAACACAGTGATTGAACAAGCCCTGTGGAGTGCACCCTAATCTTTGAACTATATATATATATATATATATATATATATATACACTGAACAAAATTATAAACGCAACACTTTTGTTTCATGAGCTGCTCATTTTAGAGTGGCCTTTTATTGTGGCCAGCCTAAGGCACAATGTGCAATAATCATGCTGTCTAATCAGCATCTTGATATGCCACACCTGTTAGGTGGATGGATTATCTCGGCAAAGGAGAAGTGCTCACTAACACAGATTTAGACAGATTTGTGAACAATATTTGAGCGAAATAGGCCTTTTGTGTACATAGAAAAAGCCTTAGATCTTTGAGTTCAGCTCATGAAAAATGGGGGCAAAAACAAAAGTGTTGCGTTTATAATTTTGTTCAGTGTGTATATTATGATATACACACTGCATCCACTACATAAGCCCCAAACACACACACTGCATCCACTACATATAAGCACACACTATATCCACTACACACATACACCGTGCATCCACAACACACACACAATGCATCCATTAAACATTCACTCATGCACACCGTGTCGAGTTTACAAACACAATGCCACAATGCATCTACTTTACACACACACTGCATCCAATACACAACACACACTGCATCCACAACACACACCGTTTATGCACTCTACACAAGCTGCATCCTTGTGGGCAAATTTGGAGGCGGGCCTGTGGCTGGACTTGGAGGCATACCCTGAGGGTGGGCTTGGAAGCGGACCACCGGGGGCCCAGACCTTCAGCTGTGTTAGGGGCCTCAACATTTTTGGTGGCACCCCTAACCCTGACTATAAGTATTTAACTATTGATTTTATCCTTATATCTTTTTACAAACACATTATGTTTATGCTAATGTAAAATAAAGGACATGCATTTCACAGTCCAGATAACAGAATGTAGGACAGAAATCATTACACCAAACCACTTAAATTGTAGATAACAATCTGTGTGCAGACTGCATTTGCTTCCATATTTATTTCTCAGACTTTTTGTGTTTCACATGAGTGACTACCAACACACGAACAAATGTTTCCACCCTCTTTGGAGAAGTCACAGAGACAGAGAGACAAACATATTATCTTCTCCCCGATGACTCTAATGTAGAGTGGTTATTTTGAACAATTGTATACTTATCTCATTTAGCAGCAGGATAATTGTTTCTGTGTTTAAAGAAATGTTCCTCTGACTGTTCCCTTTGTTACTAGATGCTAGTGATTTTTGCTACACAACTATCATAGGTTCTTTGAATCAGAATGTTGGTTAGATATGGTCTCCAGATTTATATTCATAAACACTGTTTCATGGCAAATAGTATTGAGGTTATTGATTACAAAATTCGTACATATCATGTATTATTTTTGTATGATTACAACTAGATCTGCAACTAGATCCAGCAGAGTGCTTAGAATTGTAAGACATGATTCTGGTGTAGATTTTTTAGTCCTTCTGCTATGTATTATTTTTTTATTTTTTTTTATTTCTAATCTAAAGTCCATCAAACTGTATAGAAAATGCTTATATTTGGGTTTATTTATTAAAGTGACAATATAAAGTAAATCTTACATTTTATGACATAACAGCCGAACTGAATACATTCTCTAAGTCAGCTATGCTTTTTTTAAGCTTTTTTTAGCCTCAAAGCGATTCTATAGTGTAAAGAACAAAGTTGTATTCTCTACACTATAGTTCCCTCTGGCCCCCTCTCCCTCACAGCCCTCCCGGCGCTGCAATGGTTGAAAAACCCTTTTAACACTTACCCGATTCCAGCACTGATCTCCCTCACAAGCCCCGTGAGCGCTTTAGGCAGATTGTGAGGACATTAA